AATACTAATAATATCTTCTTAGTCACTTAGGTCTCTTACCTGAAAGGACCCTAACTTTGTCAGCCAGCTCTGTATTAACCTACTCTGTTAGCCCTTTGTGCCAATGTTGCCTCCTGAGAGGAGGCTTCTAAAAAGGTGTTGCTTTGGGGGAACATAAGGGGTGCAGGTGAAGTGAGACTAGCCTCTGAATCTCTCTGCCATGAAGAAAACTAGCTTTGTAGATGCTTTGTTAACCAGAGCAGACTCACTTCTAGAGGACCCAGCAGGGCAGAGGTGCATTGGGTAACAAGTGTTTCTGAGCCTCGTATCCACCTGCCCCTGGGCTGTGTATGGGCAGAAGCCCTAGCTGCAGGCATTGAGTGATGAAGAGAAGGCTGAATGTCACCACTATCACCTGTCTTCTTAGATTTGCCTCTCTAGCCACTGCACGTCTCTGAACCGCCCCGCCCATCCCCGCCCATTCTGCTTGGATAGAGTACAAAATGAGATCAACCACTGGGGGAGGGAAGTGAGTGATGTTCTCGCACCTTGGCCAGAAACTCTTGGGATACTGAACACCGTGGACCACTTGCCTACTGCTCATTGACTTCAGTAGCAAGAGCCTCCAGGATGCTCCTGGATAAACATCATCTTTGTGGCCACACATTGTTTTATGAGCTGAGTCATCAGACTGGCTGACTCCTTAAATGCTGCTATCTGATTCTCCAGGCAGCAGAAAAAACAGGAGAAGATATGAAGTGTAGCTCATAGAGCTTTGTAGAGAGGGCTGGTCTCAGTGACCAAAAGGGCTGGCGGGATTTATCATTATGGAGTTTGCTTATGTTAAAAAATTGTTGATTAAGTTCTATTTGAATGAAAAAGATGATGCTGTCTGCAATTCTTGTATGTTATACACAAAATACGTTTGGTTATGGGCTATTTTTTTTAAAAGATTTTATTTATTTATTTGACAGACAGAAATCACAAGCAGGCAGAGGCAGGCAGAGAGAGGAGGAAGCAGGCTCCCCGTTGAGCAGGGAGCCCAATGCGGGGCTTGATCCCAGGACCCTGGGATCATGACCTGAGCTGAAGGCAGAGGCTTTAACCCACTGAGCCACTCAGGTGCCCCGGTTATGGGCTATTTTTAATAGCCACCAGTCTTAAAGGACATCCTGCTGAAGACTTGATTCCTTTGTCTGTCAGCAAGTTGTAATTTATCGTCTGAGGTAATGAGTTCAGCCCAAAAGTAATAGTGACATGTTAAGTCAAACTGTTTGCAGACTTGTTTTTTAGAAAAGAAACCATGTTTATCTTTTACATAGCTACTCAGTAAGATGTCTCAGTGAATTTTTAATTAAAGCCAATGTTCCTGTATCAAGGAAGTTTACTCTTATTAACTCAAGTTTCTGAATTGAGAGACTTGTGATTTGCTGATGTAAATTTCTCAGTTCTTTCTAGCCTATTGCATTATGGCCTTAAGAAACATACAGGTAGTTCATTCACCCAAGAGTATATATTGACTTCCTGTTAGGTGGTAGGCATAATGTTAGTCTCTGCATGGGGTAAAAATAAATGAAAAGCAATCTTTGCAACTGAGGAAGGAAACAGACTTTGTCAATGTTCAAGGCAGACACATTTGATCTCTTGGAGGAAGTTGGGATGAGCAGGTACTACAGGGAAGGTCCTTATGGGAGAGCAAAATCCCCTTTAGCCAAGAGCAGTTGGGGAAGCTTTCCCTGGGAGAGTGGCCCTTGGAGGGTGAGGAGGGTCCATGAGTTTCAAGAGAGGAGAGTACATGGGTTCTGGGATACTGTATGTAAAGGCCCAGCCAGAGTCAGGGAAGGTAGCTGATTGTATCTGGAGTTGGGATGACCCTGGGGACTTCTGGGAGAGCAGTTTCTGGGAGGTGACAGGGTCAGAAACCAGACCTTTCTGAGATTCAAATGAATTGCATTGAAATAATCTGGAGCAGATGATTCTCCTTCAAAGTCAGAGAGAGAGAGAGAGAGAGACAGAGGAGGAAGAGAGGGAATAGCAGATAAGGATACCAAAAGGGCAGATGTTCCTGGAAACATAGAAGGAGCCTGTGGAGCAGAACTGGGTGAAAATGGAGTGCAGGTAGCAACAATGGTGCAATGAGTCCTTGCAGATCCTGCAAGGAAGTCTTTGGACCCATCCCAGTGTCACCCACACTGTCTTCGGACTCATCCCGGTGTCACCCACACTGTCTTCGTGTGGGTGTCACGAAGTGTGGGGATGGGCCGTGACCACACTGTAGGTGACACCGGGATGGGTCTGAAGACAGTGTGGGTGACACTGGGATGGGTCCGAAGTCAGTGTCATCCCACTGTCACCCACACACTGAAGACACACCCACTTGCAGATCGTCACAAGGAAGGAGCAGACGATGAAGCTGGGTGGTGTTGAAAACATAAGGAAGTGGATGGGTAAGAGGGGAGGGCAGGGCACTGACGAGCCTGACTTTCAGAGTCAAGCTGGAGGTTGGCTCACATGCTGGGAGGGGTATGTATGTGTGGGGTGAGAGTAGACTGGGAGCATGAGGAAGGACTCAGAGCAGATGCTGTGGATATAGGAAAGCAGGTGCATATCCCTGCTGAAGGCCGATTCTCCATGACGTGCTCTCTGCTCTTTTGCTTCAAGAAAATCTAAATTTAGTACAAAGAGAAAGGCTGTAGAGTCTGGGACTTATCAGATGTCCTTCTTCTCACCTTGGCCCCTTTTCTTTTCCCTTTTTCAGTTGGGATTAATGCATTCCCATCCCTGAGCTGTTGTTTGCAGTTGTTGATTGAGACTGTCTTTGTCCAGGGACGCAGGCACCTAAGATAAATTCAGACTGAGAACAAGAGAGTAAACTTAGGGAAAACCAGTCCTTAGGCTCTGAGACTGTGATCATGTACACCAGCCAATAGGGTGAAACTAAGATATGAGATAAAAGCTTTAAGGTTGTTTGGAAGGTCTGTATAACTTGGCTCACTTGCTAGATAGCTCCCTGGAGAAAGCTTTGTGGGAATGTGGCTTCATTCTATTATGACATTCCATGGTGATACTGGGCAGAGTTCTTCCTGGAACAGTTAGCTACATAAATAAGGATTTTTTTTTATTGTGTTCTTGGACTCCCCCAACCCCTCAATGTATCCAACTGCTGAGAAACTCAATTATTTACAGAATATTTTTCCAGGACAGCAGTGGGCAGCCTTCATTGGCGGGAGTCTTTAGGTCAGGATTTGGAAGTCTGCAGCAACAATCCAGGTGAGCTTAGGTCTGGGAGGTAGAACCAGTTATAAAGGTCGTTATGAAGAAAGAATCAACAAGATCTGTTGATTATCTAGATATTCTCATATTAGTCTTGCTTCCTACTCAACAGGTGTGTGTCGGGTGTTCAAGGTGCTGAGGGACCAGAAAGATGACTTTAGCCTGGAGCTTGCCTTTTCGGAGTTGATAGTCTTACGGGAGAAATAAGGCACAAAAGCACACAACTGGAATCCTAGGCAAAATAAGGAAGGGTCCAGTCTGTTAGCTGCAGAATCAGGGAAGTTTTCCTGGAAATGAGGCGCTGATCTGGGCTTTGAAGAGTGGGGGTGTTCAAGAGTGATATTGAGGGGGCACTTGGGTGGCTCAGTTGGTTAAGCAACCACCTTTGGCTCAGGTTATGATCCTGGAGTCTCAGGATCGAGTCCTGCATTGGGCTCCCTGCTCCCCCCTCTCATGCTTTCTCTCTCTCTCTCAGATAAACAAATAAAATCTTTTAAAAAACAAATCTTAAAAAAAAAAAAAAAAAGAGTGGTATTGAGGGATGACACCAGGGTTTTGGCTCCGAAGTGCGGGTAACAGAGATGGGTGGTCCATATGTAGATGGAAAGAAGTCCTGCAGTTGCCAGGATTATCCTGGTCTTTGGCGAATGGTTGACCTAGAGTCACAAGGTGATATCTGCAGAAGTAAGAGGGAACAGAATTTGGGAGGAGGAGATAAAGGAGAAAAGTTTCGGGATGGAGCCAGAAACTCCGAATAGCCAGCACGGCAGAAACCTAGGAGCAGCAGAGGCGGTGCCCAGGGCAGGATACCAGATCCCAACGAAGAAGTGCTTCCTTACTAGGAAGGCTGCTATTATTGTTCAGACCCCAAACCTCTACCAGAAAACTACAGCCAAGGAGGCGGCAGGACTTCGGCCTAGACGGCATCCCAGAGATGAGGAGCCAGGGGCCTGAGTATGCTCCACCTTGTTCTCCCGCGGCGACTCCAGCTTTCGGATTTGGTGAGAAGCAGAGTGGTTCCAGGGACCTTTCCGGGGATGGGCCGTGACCACCCTGTGGGTGACCCTGGGATGGGTCCGAAGACAGTATCCTTCTTTCTCGGCCCTCCGCTCTCGGACAGGGGTCCCGCGGCAATGTCGGTGTGTCTGGCAGGAGGCACCAGGCACGCAAGCCTCTAGCGGCCTAGGACTTTCCACCTGCCCAGCCCTCCTCTTCCAGCGCTTGCTGCCGCCGAGGGCGGGGGTCAGCGGAGGAGCCAGGCCTGACCCCCGCGGGGCCGCCCAATCCCTTCTCGCGGATTTCCCTCCGCTGGCGCGCGGCGGCGGCGGCGGCGGCGGCCGCGTGGGCTCGCGCGCGGGCTCGGGCGGCGCGAGCCCGGGCAGCGCGAGCCCCCGCGCGCCGGGGAGTGGGCGCATGCGCGGCCGTCCTGCGAGCCCGCTGAGGCGAGCCGAACCGCGGCGGCGCCGGGAGCCGAGCAGCGGAGCTGTGAGGGACGGAACAGCGGCGCGGGAGCAGCGGCGACGGACAGGTGGAGAGCCCTCGGCTGCGCCGCCGGGAACTGCTGGGCCGCTCGCGGAGCCTCGCGGTCCGGACGTGGCGGCGGCGGCGGCATCCCGGACGGCCTGTGAAGGATGCGCCGCCCACTGCCCCGCGCCGCCTGACCGCCCCCGCTTCGGCTTGCGGTGCGCCACAGCCGGGCCCGCGGCCGTCCCCGCCGCGCTGTTGCCCGGCCGCCGCGCCCGCGGGGCCGCGCCCGGCCCGGCCATGTGGACCCCCACGGAGGAGGAGAAATACGGCGTAGGTAGGTGAGGCTCGGGTCTGGCCGCAGCGGGGGTCCCGGGGATGCGCCCGTGCTCTCGGCCCCGTGGCGGCCCCGCCTCGATTCGCGTCCGCGCGCCCTCGCCCCTGCCCGCAGGCTGCGCGGCCTCGGCGTGGGGCGAGCGCGGGGCGAGCTCCGGGCGAGCGCGGGGCGGGGGCGGTGCGGGAGGGGCGCGGGCTTGGGGGTGGGAGCGGGTCTTTGGGCGTGGGAGGGCGGCAGGGGGCGCTGGCGGCGCGGCCTCGGCAGGTGCGGCCCGGGAGGGGCGGGCAGGGTGGGCTGGGCCCCTGTGCCTGCGTGAGGTTTCTGGTGTGGGGCACAGGGCAGTTTTACCCAAGAAGCCAAATCCTGGGAATCTTGTTTTCTCCGCTCCCAAATCTCAATTTTAATGAGTTTCCGCACCTGAGTGGATGAGCCGGATGACTGTTTATTTTTGGACTGGAGCCTTTCAAATAAAAGGACAAAAAACGTTGACATCATTTTTCTCCATTTCAAAATTTTGCAGACATTTGACTGCAAATGTTTGCTCTGTTTTAATTTGTTTTGCCTTCAGTATTAGAAATAATTACCTTACAATGGGAAGTGTTTTTGGACATGTCTAAGTGTTAAGTTTAGTATGTATTATGGTCACAGCTTTGTTTAAAAAAAAAAAAAAACTACCTGTTTTCATGAGACCATTATTCTTCTTAGAATCCTCTTTTTATCCGTTATAAGTGTTAAACTCCTGAAGCTAAATAATCCTTGTAACATTAAACTTCTGTAAAAAGAATATTCAATAATTTAAGGGATTGAATGTCAGTTTTCCTTTTATAATAATGTTGTAACATAATGTGAGTGTTTTGTGGCAATAACATGCTATAAGAGTTCAGGCACATTGCATTATTGTAAGTCATTTGTCATCTTGTTGGGTTAAAAACAGATTTAAAATGTTGAATGTACAGGTTCCCCTCCCTCCCAAGCTTGTAATGGAAAACAATAGATGGGGAATCTGTCTAAACATAGACTTTTATTTTCCTCTTTTAACTGCAGTTCAATCAAGATTTAGCTCACAATTTACTACAAAACAACTTTTTAAACTGGCAGTAGTAACAAACACTTAGGAATACCATCAGGCAAGTTATCATGTGAAAATTGAATTTATTTAAATTTAAGGACCTGCAGAGAGATCTGTGCTGGTAGCAAATCCTGTTTTGAAAGGTAACTTTCAGGAGTTTTTAATAGCTGTGCTATAATGACACGGTAACTTACTAGGATGGAAGTGATAAAAGGAGCCCTCGTGTTTGAGTCTCTGTTGAGAAGGAATTGGGAAATGATATAAAGAGCTGGGATTCACCTCTGGGGACATTTTAGAGTATTCTCTAAATACTATATAGATTCCATGAAATGAAGAGTTGATGGTTTATTTTATTCATATCTTGCTTTTAGGGCTGCTGGATTAGAATAACAAATAATTGATGTGAAAGTGGTCAACTGTTCAGAGGCACCTAAGTGATAATTTCCTTTGGAGAAAAACCCCTGAGTAGGGAGTTAGCCAAATTCTGAGTCCTGGCTTCTCTTTAATGGTGTTGTGGGCAAGTTATTTAACATCATTTTCTTAATGTTGTAAGTGGGGGGTAATATTTACCTACAGGGTTGTGAAAATCAAATGAGAGCATACCAAGTGCTTAGTAAGTGTTAATTTCTTCTTTTCCCTTTAGTACTTAAAGTAATAATAACACTAGGTATTTCCTCTGATGTGTTCTTAGAAGGAGGCAGTGCAAGGTAATCAAGATAGGCATATATGAATCTGAGAGTGCTAGGATTTGGTGTGTGATTTAATCAGAAAGATGGAATGAAATTCTTGAATTCTTAGGACTGTGAGTTTAGCTTTAGAAAAATGGTTATTTCCTGGGAAGGGGGCACAGTATTGGGCACAGTTGCTTGGTAAATGAGAGAGACAGTTATTCTGAAGACATTAATAGCTGTGATTTAGTGTAATTTAGATGCCTTTGCTGCCAAACAAGGCATCTCTTTTTTCCATTTCCCTCACAGCTTTCTTCTACTGTCCCTTCCTCAGTTATGATCCGAAAGATTGTTCAAAACTCAGGGTGCATCTCTTTCCATAAACACGTTAGGGCTACACTCCTAGGTCTTTTATCTAATAAAATCATTTCAGCCTATAAAGTAGCTTAAATATTGTACTTATAAAAAGAAAAACAGTGAATCGAAAATAGTATGCTAGCTGCATTATTTAATTGCTATCTTGAAAATCTATGATTATTATTCCTATGAGAAAATATTTTGAGTTTCAGCTTTGATTTTTATGAGCAGCTTGGAGCACAGGTTTCTTTCTTTCTTTCTTTTTTTTTTTCAAAATTTCTTTTCAGCGTAACAGTATTCATTGTTTTTGCACCACACCCAGTGGGAGCACAGGTTTCTATCTTTGCTAGCTAATCCATAATCCTTATAGCAGGGAGGGAAAACTTGTACCCACTTCCTACCAGTTTGGAGAAACTGCTTGGTTGTTAGTGAGGGAAGGAGTCCCCTATTGCAGCAGTACAAAGGAGTTTTATTTTTCCTTACTGCAGCTGTTCATCTGTATTTGACATTGGTAAGGTGTTTGAGATCCTGTAGAAATACCTTACTAGCTTTTAATTTTTGTAAATGTAGGAATTCTATACAATGTTTTCAAATTATGTGATATCCACTTAGAACTAGGTGATATCTGGGCTTCCCTTTTCATTGTAATATTCTGTGGTTAACTTTAGGTGAAGGGGAGAAAACTGTCCTTTTTTGAGGTTTAGTCATGGGTCAGTCAGTGTGCTGCTAGGGATTCTCAGTTAGGTTACACCAGGTAGATTCCTAGAGCAGTTCTAATGTTATCTTCATCATACAGTTGAAGAAACTGGATTTTAGAATTGTTAGTGCTTTTTTGCCCTTCAACAATTGAATATTCTCCTTAATTTTCTTCCTCTGCAATATTTTGTGATATACTTGACTCTCTTGCTATCCTTCCTTAGTATTAAAGGGGCTGTTTTGTTTTGTTGTTGTTGTTGTTTTTTCCTGAACCTGTAGGCCCAAGTTCTGACTCCTTATGTCTCTTTCTCTCTGAGGTTCTCTGATCTCTTGTTCCCGCGAATGCTTGGAAAGCCCTTCATCTTTCCATTCTTTATTTTACGTTTCCAAGAAGCTTCCTGTACTAAAGTGCATTAGGTGAGAACAGTCCAACTATTTTTGTGAAACACTTGCCTTTTCCCATATCGATGGCACCCAAACTACTAAATATAGAAACCAAAGACCAAGAAAATACTTTTCTCATTCTCTAACTGCAGAAGCAGTAGCAGTAGCAGCAGCAAACACCAATAACAAATAAAACAAGAATGTTTATAATTAACTTCTAAAATAGAATAGCAGCAAAAGTTTGAAAACATTTGTACTAGCTTGGCATTCTAGGAGTGGAAGCTTGCCTCAGGTCATCATCTTATTTATTTTACTGTCATAAGGTAAATTTTTTTTTTTAAAATATCTCATAGCATTGGTTACTGATTTTCTAATCCACACTTAGTAAACCATGACAGTTTTTCCTTATTACCAACCAGAATACCTTGTATTTTAGTTTTGTAATGTTTTATTTGCTTGTTTAATTAAAAAAGGATTTATTTATGTTATATTTATTTTTATCTAATTTAAAAAGTATTTCATATTTTCTGCCTAACTTTTACCAGTTTTTCCCCAGGTAGGAAAAAAAAAAAGCATTAAAAAAAAAAAAGCCTTGAGTCCTTAAAAGAAATTTACCTTGTAAGGATCCTGTAGTGCAGAGGCAGCTGATGGTGGGGAGGGAATAGGTCGATGAAACCCAACTGGAAAGAACCAGTGATCACAAATTTCAGTAAATCTGTTGGTAAATAGGCTAAAACTCACTGAGCTAGCGTGAAGGCTGTGGGCTTTTTAGTTACTTGTTCCACGAGGCAGTCCCAGTCTTTGAAGCCTCCAAAAGGGCCACATACCTCTCAGAGTAAAGGCATCCACTAGGGCAGAGAAGATGTGATATACCCAGGCTTTATTTTGTCCTGAAAAGTGAGGATGTGCTTGATGTTTAATGATTGGGTTTTAGTGTTTACAGGGAACTTCCAAATCATGATTCCACTTGAGACTTACGCCATAATACCATCTCTCCCCTCATTTTTAAACTGATGAGAAAAACTTTAGCTGAGAGAAGTTAGGTGACTGATCTAAGGAACTTAAGCCAGTAAATACTGAGTTGAGATTTGAACTGATGATTTTGGGATTCTAAGCCACAGCTTCTTTGATTATATCATGTTGCTTCTGAAAGGAATTTGTCAGTAGTGTATGTCTTTGGCTCAAAAGATAAGGCATTCTCTATAGACTTTTCAATTTAAATTGGATAGTTATACTTAAGGAATTTTTTTTATATTAAACATATATATAAGACGACATGGTATTTATTGTTCTGCTTCTAATTGTAATGATTTACATTGATAATGATAGTACACATTCAGGGCATGATGAGTCAGGAGGCAGGGTTTTTTTTTTTTTCATGTTCAGTTGGCCAACATATAGTACATCATCAGTTTTTGATGTAGTGTTTTAATGATTCATCAGTTACATACAACATCCAGTCCTCATCACAACAGAAGCCAGGTTTCTGTTTATTTGTTTATTTTTGTTATTTACTTTTATTTGAACAGCTTTATTGAGGTATAATTGATAGACAAAAAAAAGCTCATATTTTTTTAAATGAGCTTTGATTCATTGATTTTGTTATGTTAATTGCACATCATTAGTTTTTGATGTAGAAGACAGGTTTTTATTTTATTTATTTATTTATTTATTTAAAAGATTTTATTTATTTATTTGACAGAGAGAGATCACAAGTAGGCAGAGAAGCAGGCAGAGAGAGAGAGAGAGGGAAGCAGGTCCCTGCTGAGCAGAGAGCCTGATGCGGGACTCGATCCCAGGACCCTGAGATCATGACCTGAGCCGAA